GTTGTGTATAAGAGACAGCTCTCAGACTTGAAAAACACTTTTGATTTAAAGTTGATAAAATGAAATGCGTGTTTACTGAGTTGGGTTTGAGAGTATAGTAACAACATTGTATTTTATCAACTTTAAATCAAAAGTGTTTTTCAAGTCTGAGAGTGCCATTTCCTGCCACCCAGAGGTCCATATTTAAAAAAAAATCTCATTACGGAGGGGGAACACTCCTCCCATACCTTCCCCCAACTCGGTCAGTGGGCCCCCGGATGCCGACGAGCACCAAAGTTAACCTTATCTCACTCAGGCCCCTTTCGGATAGCTTTACCCTCCCAGAAAATATGTCCTACGGCCTCCACTGTCCTCAGCTTGTGGACTGCCTAACATCTACTCTGCAATATGCTTTAATTTATGCTTACTGACGCAAGTACAACTCCACCAAACTCACCTGGAAGCCCGACATACTTTCTGTCCAGGCTCATTCCGGCAGTGCCACCCTCAGTTCGGCGCTTCGGGCACGTGCCCTGTTCTGCACCCCTGTAGTTACACCTCTGCTTAGGATACAGTGCGAATGTTGTTTTGCATGCTATCACTTTATTGAATTTATGCGCATGATCAATCGCTTTATCACTCTTTATTGGTATCTTATCGATTGTTAACTCTATATATCTTGATCGATCATATCTATATGTTTACGTTTCATGTTTATTACCAGGCAGTATTTTAAATAACAGTCGTACTGTTTCATTCACAGCTCAAAGTCGACCCGATATAAACCATGTAGCCCAATACGCAACTCAAGCCCAAAGTAATTACTCATCGGCTGGCATTATGCCTTCACTAATAATCCCATCTTCCAACGGTCCATACGTAGGTCGAGAAGGTAAGCAGTGCTTTGGGAAATTACGCAACGACCACAACAACATTATGGCAACGCGTTTCCCGATGATTCGATATATTTTTGCAATTACTCGTTATTTCAGTCAATTGATTGAATCGCCAGGAATGATATCGTATCGTATCATCAACATTGTCATCATCCTAATTTTCATTCTCCTCCTCCTCATTATCATCATCTACTCCATCATCACCCTCTTAATCATCATCATCACCATCGTTATCATCGTCATCATTACCATCTATCCTCTTCCTCCTCCTCCTCCTCCTCATCATCATCTTCAATATCATCATCATCGTCATCATCCTCCTCATCATCTTTCTCATCCTTCTCATCATCATCCTCACCACCACTATCACCATCATCATCATCATTAAAATAATCATCATTATTATCATCACCGTGATCCATCTCGGTTTCATCTCTCTAATTGTCATCGTGTCATGTCGTGTTTAAATGATTGATAATAATCAATTCCTAATAATATCCAAACGTCAATCATGTTTCTTTTACAGATTACTCAAGCCAATTTCAAATGCAATACAACGGTCAATTCCCTCCTGGCCACTACAACGACTGGCAACGATTCGCAAACCCACACCAAGCATTGATGAGTAAGTATTGCATATGGAAATACGCTTACCTTGCTGTCTTGTCTACATAATGCAGCTTACTGATTTGTTTCATCATCATCATCATTATCAACATTATCTTACCAATCATTATCATCATCACTATCATCATCATTATCATCATCGTCGTCGTCATCATCGTCAAAATCATCATAATCGCTATCATCAATATCATCAGCAGCATCATGACTATCATCGTTATCCTCCCAATCATCAGCATCATCATCGTCATCATTATCATTCATTATCATCATCATCATCAGGGTACCACCATCATCATTATCATCAACAATATTTTCTCTTGCATGCATACTTTATCTTATTCTATCGACCGGCATCTGCATTAATCTCTTCTCATCACAGTTTCCATTCTGTCAACTCTAGCTCACTGCTTTTCTCAATGCGCATGTCAATGTCACTGATGGCTACGTCATAGAACAACTGAATGTTAGGTTGAATTTGTTCGATGTTAGAAATTATAATGCTTCAGGTGGCAGTTTTCTTCTCCAGCGCCTGGATAATATAAATGGTGCTATACACACCAGCATTATTTTACCATCATCATTGTCATCGTCGTCATCATCATCGTTATCATCATCATTAAAAAAAATAATAATAATTACGATTATTTTATAATTCTAGGCCTAATCATCATTAAACTATTATTATTATTATTGTTCTAAATATTATTCATCATTCATTTTTTATTTACTCTTGTAAACCGATTTTCAAATATTTTATTTTGTAATGTATTTTCAATACAAATACATTTCATACATCAATCACACGTGGCGCACAATGCCTAATATGGGCTTAATGTCCATCATTGATATAATAAGCATCTAGTTTTTGATAACGGAAAGGCATGTTATCCAGCAGCATGGCGCCTGATTGATGACTAGAATGTATGAATACAGCATGTTTTAATCTGCTTGCTTATTTTTGTTATACCTTGCACGATTTCAATTTCTCTTCGCAGACCGTCCTTGTCCTTAAAATAAAATTTAAAAATCTATTGTGACGTCACAAACACTGTCGCTTACCGCTACTGTAATGACGTCATGAAAACTATCGCCACTCTATTCTGACGACACATTCGTAACCACTCTATTTCTCCAGCTAAGGGTGAACAAGAAACCAACAACAACAACGTACTGGTAACACCAACCTCTCGCAACTTTCATAACCAAACAAGCCAAGTACAAGGATTAGTGAACGTGGCTCAGCAGCTAACGCCTGACGTCATCAGCGGACACATTGGAAGTATATCTCGAACGCCCCACAATGCCTTAGATCTCCGCACGTGCGCGAAGGAGCCGCCTAAGAGTTCAATTACCTGGAATCATTTAGGACATCAATAGCGCTTATGGTGAAGATTTTTGTAGATACGGCATTTGAGTAACTTCATAAAAATTCAGATTTGCGCTAATTTTTAACTTCGTATTACCGTACTACCTCATTCAGTACCATATGGTCAAATATTTATTTTCTGCACCCTTTTCGTTGATAGCCCTATTACAATAAAGTTTAATCATTCTTTGCTTACTTTGAAATACAGTAGAAACCCTCCTTTGGGACCCATCTATTAAGGGGAAATCCCTTTAAGGCGACAGCTCTATTAAGAGGGAACATTTTTGGTACCGAAGGTGGGACCCTTAATAGGGGCTATTTTCATTGATAATTTATTGTTTTTGTTAGTCACAAGATTCGTTTAAAACACTTGTTAAATGAAGAATACAACACACAACTGTAAAACTAGCCGTGTCTTTGGCTGTGAGATACTACCGCCAGGGTTATGAGATGTCCATTAATTACCAACTCTTAGTAAGAATTGACATGGGGATTTATGGTCAACATTCCCTACTATAGCACATGTAACTGAATATTCTAATGCAGTGGAGGTTTAAGAATACAGTAACTGAATGTAAAATATGAGTTATTATTATAACTACTGGTTCTGGTGATCAGTGAACTAAGCCGTACCGTACCTTTTATATTATGCGCATAATAAGAGTGTGGTTATCGTATGTGCCTTACTGCCTACTATCCCTGCGGTAGAATTATCTACCATTCTCAAAACTAGAATTTTGTTTAGAAACAACAAGTTATCAAACATTTTACAAAACATTAAACGATATTGATGATTATAATTGAAAAACTCAGGTTTGCTACTGTATTCAATCTGGAATAATTATTAAAACCAACTGAAGTGAAATGTCCACCTCTATAATAGATCACATTGTCACCTTATTCTAGTGGTCGTCAACAAATGCACTGTATTTGTGTATTATAAGAATACCTCTATAATACCTGTAGTAATAACTCTATGGTTATGCTGCATATTGGTACGAATACGCACAATTGGTGAATAACTGGTAAATCAATAATAGAGAAATCATGATGTTTACATTTCAAAAAATTATATATTGATTACAAAATTGTGACAGAACACGCCAGAATGCCACTTTAAATTATATATTTATTTGTCATTTGAAATTTATTTCATAGAAACCTTGATCCGTTCACACTTGCGTTTGTGTAGTTATAGTGGTCCTACAAGTAAGGGGCACCATTAAAATCGCCATTACTGTATTCTCGCTTTAATGACAATTTATGTTAGTGTGATTTATTATTGATAAATTATTAATATTATAATATATCCTTTCTAATTTAAAGGTTTTTGTTTAATTTGTAATATATTTAATGTTATTTTATATAATTAGATTTAATTATGACGTCAGGGACATTAAGTCTTTGCAAATGTATGAAAGCAAGTGAAAAGAAATCTTCATTTGGGTTAAAATTGGGATTATTTTTTTTTTCTATTTTTTCTTAATACTTCTATGGCATAATTACATTAAAAAAGTAAAATTGTATACATATCTTAACTTGTGTGACAGGTTAGACTGTGTTCAAACGAGAATAAAACTGTACTATATATACACTAATGTATATATATATACATATATAAATAATTATGTACAAAATTGACGAGGCTAATAGGTGGATTAAGCGATGATATATAGGCCTATATATATTCTAATACAATGATAATTTGTGGTTATGACTCTACACAATGTTCGTTGAAAAGTTAGTATCCGTAATTTCATATCAATAATCAATTTATATGAAAATAGTTCTGGTCAGAAACGTATCTTCCAAATATATATTTTCTATTCAATAATGAATGAGTTAAATAAATTGTTTAAAAAAAAATTATTAATAAGGATTTTTTTTTAAATAATCAATTAATTTATTGACTACATTATTCATTTGATCAATTTTAAAGTGAATACATACTACATTAAAATTATTGTATATTCTGTTAAAATAAATGGTTATTGGGAACTTACTTTAACAGTAGAATTTCAAACTGTATGGTCTTGCACCACATCGAGCAGCTTAAACTGGGTTCACACTAGAATAATTTTAACGCGCAACGCATACTCCATTTTTCCACAATGTGAATCTATTTGTAATTAGACGGGTAATGTTTCGTTGGCGGGGCTTTGCCGCGTACATAAAGCTTAGTCCGCACTATCAAATTTTTTGTGACAAATGTGTGTGATGTGCCCATATATGGGTATGATGATGTCATATTACACCCAAATATCACAGTTTTTTGTCATATAAAATTTGATAGTGTCGAGAGAGCTTTATAAATCTCAATGCAGCTCAACTCCATGTTGCAAGGGGAATGACAATAGTAGAAACCACCGCCGCGTCTTGCGTTTATAGGTATGAAGCGTGCTCGTGTGAACTCAGCTTTATCTAACCAGCAATTGCGTGAATATATGGCTATGTGCTCTGCTGATCTAGTAATAACGTTATTACGTTGAATAACAACAATACGTGATTGTAATAAATCTCGACTTCATTTTTTGTTTTATATTATCTTGGTGATAAGGTAGTCTTCATTCCAAACATTCTAGTTAAGTCTATATTTATTTATACGTAAATTCTTACAAATATATGCGCAGACCCAGATTAGTTACAAAGAAGGTGTAATAGAACACGGACTAAATTGAAGCTGCAAAACACCAAAACGTAAAATGACAGAGAGAGAGTAAAATGAAGATATAAAGCTAAAACTCCTAGGCCTATGTAGATAATGTGAAAACACGATGGCGGAATAAAAAACTTACAAACTATTAATTGTGTATGTTTCTGATTTTCTGCTGTTATGACAAGATATCTTCCACCATGTACAAGTTTATATAGGTTTATTAAATGAAAACGTAACAGAGGAGGAATCTGACAAAGAAAACTCAGCCTCCACCGGCATTTGGACCCGGGAACCTTGCCATACACGGCGACCGTCATAACCACGAAGGCATTGTGGTGATTCAAGCGCCAGTAGAATTTGAGTTCATCTCTCTTTAACTCTGTTCATTATTTTCAGCTTACTTGATCTCGAATGGGTTACTTGTATATAAATTGATTTAAAGGCATAATAGTGAAAACGTATATAAGATGGGTATAAGAGACAGATGGTTATGCT